GGACAACTAGGACCACCAGGGCCAAAAGGAAAAAAAGGAGACCCAGGAAAAAAGGGAAGTCCAGGCATGGTAAGAAGCGAAACAAAATTTAGAAGAAAAGTTTGTTAGATGTGACCTAATTTTAAAAATTTATCCAATAAAATTTTGTAGCCCATCAAGCATAGTTATTAATAAAAATGATCTCTGTTCAAGAACATTTGGTTTTATCATGTTTGACCAAGTAGGTAACCCTACTATGACTTCATTTGTATTGTTTTTTTTTAATTCTAGACCAAGAAATTTTCTTTCGTAAGGGCTATATTTCATCTAAAGACAAATTTCAACATTGTTTACCACCGTCCATCTTTGTCCTAAAACTAATTAAAGTATATTTTAATAGAGTAGCCCATACTCTTACAAAGCTGACTCAAGGGGGATGGGGGTTCCATTCAGAAATATAAATGAACTACACATGGTTCCAGAAGGTTAACCAATTTAACCAGTTAAAAGAAGAGAAAATATTCTACTTGTATTTGCGAAAAATCTGAATACAATTATCCATAATGCACTGCTTCAAAATAGAGGTGAAACCTGTGATAGAATACTTAGGAATTCGAGTATGAAATATTATTTAAATGTGTGCAGGAAGAAGTAATACTATATTATTGCTTGGGTACACCACGTAGATAGTTTCGAAAAAAAATGTTGTTTGTTGAAAATGTCTCAATGTTTGGATTGAGTTTCTTCAATCGTCTTCAGCGGAATAGTATCTGCAGAGCAAACAGGGAAATAGTTATATGTTTGGATAGTGAGACTTGATGCTGATTTTGTTTTTTTATCTCTTTGTATTGTTTTGTGTTGTTTTGTCTTGGTGTGAATTCTTTTTCCTAATGCAAATGTGGCAAAGACAAGCCAAACCAGTCACTCGTCGCAAAAATTGATTTTGAGTTATTAATAAAGTGTTAGAGAGTAAAATAATAGCTATAAAATGGTAAAAAAATCATTCAAATCGGACATTTCCTTATGAAGTTACAAGTGTTTAAACATAGATCTGTTTAAAGAACAATATCTGAGAAATCAGCCTTTAAAGTTTATGATTTCATGCTTTTCTCATACAGAAACAATCATTAAATCCTTAATATTGAAAATGGGGAAAATAACAGCATAGAATGAGTACAGATATGTAAAGGTTAGTTTAGTATAATAAAATAGATTTTTTAAAATTTGACATTCCAGCATATTTTGGCCATTTTCTCTGAAACATGATTTGCGACGAGTGACTAGTTTGGCTTGTCTTTGCCACAAATGTTTATAGTGTTTGTGTTTTTTCTGTTTTCTAATTATATGTTTCGGTGTAATTTTTCCCCCGTTTTGGTGTTTTTTGTGTTCTCGTGATGTTGATTTTGTTATCTTTTTTCCAGTGTGAGCTTTTCTCTTTTTTCCCCCATTTAAGGTTTTTTTTTTTTTTGCTAGTTAGTTAATAATATTTTATCTTTGGTAATTTTAATCTTTACAAATCTACTTGCAATTCAGTTATGTTTTACTGCAATGAGTTTATAAACAAAATGAATGAATAAAAAAAAACCATGGCTAATAACAACCATTTAAAAAAATAGACCCTTGTAAAAAATTTGATGAGTTAAGATCTTAAGATTTGAAGTTTAAGGAGTGACATTGATTCAGTTTAAAACATTCGTAAGCTTGGAATTTATAGTATCAATATAAGAGTACAAGGATGATGATGTGAAAAAAAAATCAGCAAATAAAATAAATGAGAGGGAAGGAGATGAATTGCAGCAGTCGTTGATATATAAATTGTATAGTATCAGGCCAATTAAACCTTTTTCAGAACATCAAAACAATCTTTATTAAAATCAGGAAAATGCTTATTTTCTCACCTTCTATGTAAGTAGAATTGTGACCTGGTGATTGTGTTTTTTAATATCATAATCTAAAATCATTGTCATCCTAATCAACATTTTTTGAATTGTGTTCTATCCTAATTCCTTTTGTCTTTTGTGGTACCGGTATACCATTAAACTAATTTCATTTGTTTTCCTTTAAATTTTGTATCTTTGAATTCAGAAACGCACAGGATATCCTGGTATCCCTGGGATGCGAGGTCCTCCTGGACCTAGAGGAAAACATGGTAAACGTGGTATCCGAGGCAGAAAAGGTCCAATTGGCTCAAAGGTAATTCCATTTTACTGATTTTTAGCCAACTCGAGAGTCGAGTGGGCGTATGTCATCACTCTATAGAACAAAGCAATTGCTATCAAAGGCTTCATTAGTGACGAAATTTTACTATAAATGTTGTGTATAATAAAACTCAGCCCTTGTCATCTCCGTCCTTAACTGATTAGCAATCACAACTCTTTACTGAAGTAATCCATGCTAATACCATCCCCAACCAAGTACAGTATTATGCCGGGCAGCATTATTTTTCCCCATACAATTAAGGCAAAAATTATAGAGGGCGCTATTTTAGGTCAGTAAAGTAAACTGATATACATAAATTTGCATGGTTGACTTTTCCCTCCCGAAAGAGGTGTTAAGTGGTGTATCGAGTAAGCTGCAGTACTTATCCGTGGGTGAAAGCTACGGTGTATGCAAAATCTCTAAAATAGTAGGTAGTCAAGGCAGTGTAAAAATTAATGGACTTTTGTAATCATATTCCGATGACTAGACACAGTTTACATACAGCATGGTCTTTGAATTTATTATTATTATTGTTATGATAATAATAACTGTTTTGATAATAATAACTATTATTATTTTTATTGCTATTTTTGTATGTATACCTTTATATTTATATGTAAACTTGTGATTATTATACTATTACATTAATACTACTACGACTACTACTACTACTACTACTACTACTATGATTATTGTTACTGTATTACATACTTATGTTCGTACAAGTTTTTAAGTTGGTACAGTAGATGTAGGAATACCTTCCTAATAAATAAGGCCTACAATATTTTGTAGATACAGTAATAGCCTAATTATTATTTATTGTAGATTTATTTTATATTCTTTTATGATAAAAAATGGGGTTCAAGTTTGTGGATGTTTAACCCTATACGCTTCGTCATAATACGGTCAGTACGGCTTGTTGGTATTGCATGCATATTGTCCACTAACACTAAGGTACTCGCTCGAGCTTTGAATATCACACAGCAGCAGGAAAAATCTATAAGAATTGATAAGATTCTTGCAGACTCAGGGGATGGCATTACACTTGAGTTCCTATATACAGATTCCTATATATTGAATCTATAGCGCCACCAATAGTCACTGCCTCAAATGTCCAGGAAAAGAAAAATTGCCCACGGGGCACTTGGGCGGGTCCCTGAACCCAGCCCAGAACTGCCTCCTCCCTCCCCCTCCTTTAGTAGCTTCTGGCTATGGACCTACAAATAAAGATCGCTATTGTGATTATTTTTTGCTATTTGCAACAAGTGAACAATAATAGCATGTTTTATTTATCTCCTAAGGGTAGCTTAGGACTCACAGGTAAACGTGGTCTGAAGGGAGCTAAAGGGAGCATGGTAAGACATTTTATTTGTATGATTAACTAAAGATAATAGATACATTATTATATTTATTATAATTATGACAATAAATATTATAGTTGTA